AATTGTTATTGATTGAGTGATTGGAAGAGTGACTGTAAAAGAAAAATTGAAAGCTTGGTTAGAATATTTTCGAGGCACAAAATTAGAGAGAGATACTGAAGTACACAATATTACCAATGTAAAATTATGCAAAAGATAAATTCGGATGCCATAAAAATTGCCTGTGGGCTAAATTTTTACGCATAATGAATTTACCAAAACTGAATGGTGGAAACGAAATGGGGGCGATTTTAATTTTTCCACCCTTAATGACAAAACTACCAAAACTATATGCCGATACATAATCCCTGTGGGCAAATTATGATCATAGTATGGTATTTCATCCTAATTCACCCTACAAATATAACAAAATTGCCTGTGGGCTAAATTTTGCCATATCACGCAGAGTGAATTACAATATTCTTGCATTAGCTTTATGTGAGTAAAACTTAATATGTAATTTTGGAAAAATTAAAGATGCTGTGGCTACTCTTTAATTAGCCAAAGAACATAATCACATTAGCAAGAAAACCTAATAATCAAACAGATTAAACCAAAATATGATAGACAATCCTTAGGTATACTCCCAGGAAAGTTGGTCGAGACGAAGCTCGGTTAAATACCAACTCCTTAGACAGAGTAGCGTCGCAAGGGGACTAGTAGCAACAAGGCTTTTAAGCCAGGGCCATAGAACTAGTATTCCTCCCCAAGAAACTTCCCTAATTCATGTGTTCTCATTTTTGAAGTAAAATCGTTTGAGAGATCTAAAGAGTAGTTTCACCTATGGATAAGGCTTTGAATAGGGTAAACTACGAATTGTTTATGTACTTAATGTGCTTTAGGAACTTTATAAAACACGAGTGGAGTAATAACTGAAGGTTGAGTAATAATATGCATAATCTAACCTGAAAGGCACTAATTCACCTAAAAGGCACTAATTCAGGCATAGCATATAATTCAGACCTAAAAGGCTCTAAATTTTTCTTAATGAACATGCTTTTCTATAGGCATATAATTATAACAATCAAATAATTATTGCAATAAAGAGATAAATAGCATGCTCAGATTATGCATATTACTCACAAATACTCCACAATTAAATTGCAACACTTAATACAATTTAAACTGAAAAACATTATTAAATTAAAAATTCAACTGAAAAATTAAAACTGAATAATTATTCAAAGTTGAATAATAATTTAATAATAGACTTAATAAAAAAAAAAATTCAATTGGATAATTTAATTAGAAGAAGTCCAAATATGATGAAGATGTTAATCTGAATGAATTGATGTAGTCCAAATATCAATTCAGATTTGACCCAAAACCATAACAGGCCCAAATTTAATAAAACAATTTTTTTTTTTAATAATATGCCCAAGTCTGGCCCAATTGGGCCAGACCTGGCCCATTAAGCTAAACATCTTCATTCATCATCTTCTTCGTCTAAACACGGCAATATGCAGCAGCTCCGTCGAACAGAAGCAGTGAGCTCCTCATTCGGCAGGGAGCAAAAAATATCCAATTTTTTTTTTTTTTTTAATTCTTAATGCGGAAAATTATTTTCAGCAGTCCAGAAAAGTTAATTGCATACTCAAAAATATTTACACATGTATCTCAATTATATAACAAAATATATATATGTGCAAACATTTAAGCAATTAAAAAAAACTAGGCAGAGATTATTTATGGCGACTGATACCAACTATTAGACTAAAATATCACATGCATAATCTTATATGTGATAATAGGATCGTACTAACCTCCAGCCATAGTTCTTCTTACGGTTGAGCGATCCGGACTGCTGCAGAGATGATAAGTGCTTTGTCTCTCACTTTACTCAGCTCTCTCTAGATGGTGTATGAGGTATGTAATGTGAGCAGTGAGAGGACTAGTGACCTTATATAACCACTGGCCATCATTGTGGTTGATTGTCTTTAGGTCTCCTAAACCCTAACTAGACTCCTAATCATAATGGTAGTCTAGTTGTTAGGTTATTAGTGTTGCACCACATATCAAATACTGAATATTATCATAACTTATCCTAATGTTATAATAATAGTAACGGATAAACATTACATGCCATTGCACTAGAAATTGAAAGACTTTACTTTTGATTTGGAGAATGTTGGTCCCAGCGAAGGTTATGGTACAAGTCTAGTGGAGGGGTGGGGAGGGGGAGGTGAATAGACTTGTAGAGATTTTGAAAGCTTTTATGAAAGATTAAAGTAATCGAGAGGTAACTTTAACTTCTCGTGAGTATGCACAACGGAAATTATAATAACTTTTTTTAAAGTTTCTTTGCACGTAGATTTAACCTTGTCAAATTTTAGGTTTGATTTTGAATGTTATGTTATAAAGCAGTAAATAATTAAACAGAGAGGGAGACATAGAGAAATTTTTATAGTGGTTCGGTTATAACCAACCTACTCCGCTCTTCTCCACAAACACGAGGAGGTTTGCACTATCCACAAGTACAAAGATCGGACGTCCATGCTTTGAACACCAAGCCAGCCGTGAACTCCACAACTAGGTTTTTCAACTCAACACGAGTTATTCCGCCCCTTTCTACTTCAACGAGTAGAGATACAAGGGTTGAAGAAAATGGTTTCTTCTTTCTCCAATTAGAGAACTTGACTTGATGAATCTTGATCTTCACAGTTTGTGCAGCTCAAGTTTCTAAAATCTGGATGTAATCTTGTTTTAGCTTTTGTCTCTCTTTCTCTTCAATGACTGGTCGCTAGATAAGAACGCTTGAAAACTTTAGCACTTGATAATTTTAAAATGACCAGTACATTCTTCAGTTGTAGTAGAGGGTATTTATAGGCAAATGAAAATTGTGCATTGGTGGGAGAACCAAATTCAAATGGCTATGGATCTCAATGGGTAATTCGGAGGGTAGGTGAGCGTGTCAGATTTTCTAACTGTTAAAGACTTAAAATGCGCTAAACATATCTTTTTGTTTTGCACAAAATGTTAAGGCATTTAAAGATTTTTTTTTTTGTTTTTTTTATTTTTTTGTTTTTTGGATGTGTCCCTAGGACTCATTTTGCCTTGGACACATTTGCTCATCATTTTAAGATTTCGGACTGTTTGCTCAGAGAATGTCTCGAGCAGTCCTTTCGAATAATTAATTGGGTTAACGGTTCGAACCTTAGACCTCTCGGATACGAATGGTTGACTTTACCACTTGTCCATTTTACACCTCGAAAGGTAGGTCCTTCATTCTCTTGACCTTTGCAACCTTTCTGTTACGAATGGTTGACCTTATCATTTGTCCTTGTAACACTTCGAAAGGTAGGTCCTTCCATATCTCGACCTTTGCAACATTTCAGTCCTTGTAAAAGTTCAATCACATTTTTAAAAATAATTTGAGAGTTTATTTGGCCATTTTCCTATAATAATTCATGAGGTGTAAAATACAAAATATTTTATCAGTGAAGTACTTGCTTTATAAAATTGGCAGGAAGTTTTAACTAGGGATGACAATTCTACCCGCACCCTATGGGTTCTCCGCATCCTTGCCCCTACGGGTTTTAAAATACCCGCACAATTTGAGTAATGGGTGCGGGTATGGGGGGAAATTTCTATACCCGCGCGGGTATGGGGACGGGTGCAGGGGAGGTATCTCCGCCCCGCACCCGCACTTATATATATTGTTATTAGTATTCATGTATTATATAAGTTTATGTATATTTTATAGACCTAGCAATTATGGACACGACACGAAAATAACGGGTTAGTGTTTAGCCTTAACGTGTCATGGGTCTTTAACGGATTGACCCGTTAAGGACCCGTTATATTTCGTGTCTTAACGGGTCAACCCGTTAAACTTGTTAAGAACCCGTTTAACCCATTAATATTATCGTGTTAACCCGTTTACACGAACCCGTTAACACAAACATGTTTATAATGAATGAGATTACAAAAGATATTATGAACATGACTAAGGATGAATTTACTACATTAGGCCAAAATCCTACACCAATTATTGATGTTAAACAATCTGAAATTTGAATTTTTATTGTGTTTAATTTTATTCTAAAATAAAAACTAGCATGTACTTCTTTAATTATGATTTTTTGCTGTTATTTTATGAATTTTATGAATGTTATAAATTGAATATTTTTTTAATTTGTTTTATGGATTGAATTGTAGGTTTTTTTTTTTATTTTATTTAAAAAACTTAACTTTAAATTTTAATTTTTTAAATATATTACTAGTTTTTTAAAAATATATTAATAGGTTTAGCGAGTTTGAACGGGTTTCGTGTCGACCCGACCCGGAACATGTTAATTAAACGTGTCTATCGTGTCAATTCGTTTAACCCGTTAACAAATCGTGTTCGTGTTAAAAATTTGAACCCGTTAACCTTAACGTGTCATGTCCGTGTTTAGCCTTATCGTGTTCGTATCATTGTTGTGTCGACCCGTATACACGAATTGCCAGGTCTTATATTTTATAATTAAAAATGCATAATGAATTAAACTTTTTAGGTTTTTTGTTTATGAAATTTGAATAGGAACAACACAAATAACATAATGAGTAAACACTTAATACAATTTATACTACTAACACAATTTTAGTTCCAATTAAAGACTAACTTCATTGGCTCTTATTAAATTTTAGAGTTTTGTTCAAACTTATAAAAATTCATGTGATAATTAGAATTGTAGTATAAAATTTTTATTAAATTTAAGTCTAATATTAATAATTAGAATTGCGGGTTGGATATTACTCGCACCTGCAAAATCTCCGCGAAGAATATGAGATATGAATTTCATTACCCGCGCAGATGCGGGTGCGGAGAGTGGGTTGAAAATGCGGGTGCGACCACCTCGCCCCATTGCCATTCCTAATTTTAACCCTCAAACTTTACATCAAAACTAAAAAGTACCAAAAAATGGTGGGGAGGCTTCCCTAATACTGAAAACTACAGGGGAGAGATTTTGGTACATAAAAACTTAGGGGGAAAAAGCGTAAGGAGTTCAATCTTAATCACTTGAAGTTATAATAATTATATAAGAGTATAAAAATCGCAACAAATATGTAGAATTTTTATTTTGGCCCGGATCGGAAATGTCGTCGCAGGGTAACGATCCACGGTTGCCGTCGGCTGCGAAGCCGTACAAACCTCAGCCGGTATCTACTCAAGATCTTCCTATGGACTACTCCGGCTTCATCGCCGTCATCTTTGGCGTTTTTGGTGCCATGTTCCGAGTGTGTACTTGCACTATAACTACCTCCGATCTGATTCTATTTTGAAACTACTTATTTGTTCTTCGTCCTCAGTCGAACGAAACAACATTAGTTCCTGTATATTTTGGCCCCGTTATATTGTATGCTTTGGTGAATTTTGTAATCTGATGATCTGTGTTTTCTTTTTGCAGTACAAGATCTGTTCGTGGCTCGCGATAATTTTCAGTGCTCAATCACTTGCTAACATGAAGAACATTGAGACTGATCTTAGGCAAATCTCCATGGCCATGATGTGAGTTTTAGATTTTCTTTGTTATTGTGATTTCTAGATTTCTTTTTCTTAAAATTTGAGCATGCCTTTTTTATTTTTATAATGTGTTTCTTACTTTGGTGTGCTTGAATTTGAATTTCTGCCGATGCATGTCTTGTTTGATTTAAAAAAAAAGAGGGATTCTGGTGTGGTACTGATAGAGATTAAGTTTGTAAATTGCAATGAATTGGAGGAACTTTTTCTGAATTTCATATTCTTACAAAGTGTTTCAATATAACATAATAACTAGTGTCACAATTAGTATAATAATGAGAGTTAATTTCTAATTTAGTCCTTGACTATGGTGGTGTTTTCTAATTTAGTCCTTAACTAATAATTTGACTTAATTTTTTACTGGACTTTAGTGGTTGTGCTCAATTTTTGTCTGCTAGCTATAATTCATCTCATCTTGGTGACATTTGAGGTTAAAAGGCAAATTACTATCTCTAAGTAGATTTTTTCTGTAGTCTCTTCCTGATTCCTAGTTTGACTCCATTAAAGCTCCTAATATATTTAGACAATTTAATGAAAATTTAGGTTTGAGTGTTAATGTGGTATGCCTAGTTGCCAATGCAAAATTGGTGATTGACAAACCTTAACTTTGACAATTTTTTTTTTAGTTGACAAGCTAGTAATTACCCTTTAACTCTCAAATTTCACAGAAATGACTGGTAATGGAAGATCAAATTGCGGACCACCACTAAAGTTGAAGAAGTTAAATACTTAAATTTTTAGTCAAGGACTAAATCTGAAATTGTCATCATATTTAAGGACTAAATTAGGATTAACTCTAATAATTATTAGGGAAAATGATACTTTTGTTTTAGGGTATAGTAGACTCAATCCTTGAGTTGTTTTTCCGCCTCCACTCTTGATCCCTAGGTTGACATATGAATGGTGCTTTTGATTCCTAAGTATCAAAGAAGTACATTGATTATAATTTGCCCAAACATCTTTCTACTGAGTCTCATGCTATCTCCTAGCCTAACTCCATCATGGATTTATATTTCGGGTACTAAAAGCATCACTTCAATTTCAATCTAACGACCAGATATCAATACTTTAAGGACCGAGTTTATTGTACACCAATAATTCGAGGACCAAAAGTGTTATTACTTTTATTGCTGTTGTTGTTGTTGTTATTTTAATATGATTCATGCAATATTTGAGCAACCATACCATAGGTTGATGCCCTTGACATGATCTCAAGTTAGATCTCGTATTTTGGGCTATGTTTTTTATTTTCCATTGTTACATCTTATTGCCTGCAAATTTATGTGAAGTGCAATTTACTTTTGTTGTGTAACCAATTGGAAGAGAGTAAGCAAATAGTTCAAACTTGTGAATTGTTATTATTGTTAATTTGTTATTATTATTAGGGTTTTTGGGTAAAGTTTCATGGTAATGGCGTAATGCTATATCTTTCCACACTATTCTTATTCATTGCTGGGCTTGGCAAAAAGTAGGATCTTAAATTGAAAATGTTTGGCATTTTAAATATTTGTGTTAGATCTAGAGTGTTTGGGTTAACTGTCAATTTAACACTCTACTTTGTGTAATCCCATTTTCTGCTTTTCAGAAGTAGTGACATTTTGAGTGTTATAATTTTCAGGACGTTTGTGATTGAAATTCTGTGAAATTTTTAAAGTAGAAAACAGAATAGTGGCTCAAGACTAGGAACCCTAAGTCATGGGAGTTAGGATGTTATGCAACCTTCTTTTTCTGAAAAATAATAAAGTTGTATATAAATTTTACAGTTTTCAAGAAATATCTGTTCATATAAACAATAGGGTTGAATATATATCTTGATGGATATAACAAAGTAATAGCAATAAGTGATTCATCCAACAATCTCAATATGTTTGTTTAGTTATCTGTTTACTCTAAATATTTCTTTCCATGCGTTAATTGACTTTTCTATGTGCTGTCTTTTTTAATCCTATTTTCAGTTTGTTTATTTTTATTTTTATACTTTGTATGTTGATTTAAACTTTTATTTATATTTTGTTGATTCAAAAGGTTGCCTTCCATTTTTAAAATTTGAGGGTTACAAAAACTTTAAGGGTGTGTTTGGTTGGGGACTTTTGATACCCAGTATCGTGTTTGTTTGCCTACTTTTGTTATCCTACTATTGGATTCAAATCCTTTAGTAATTATAAAACCCATTACGCTTTTACTCCTCTACTTTTGAACAATGCAATAAAAAATAAGGGAGAAAAAAATGAAAAAATAAAAAGCCATTGTCTATGCATTAAATATGGAATTTTAATATATATATATATATATATATATATATATATATATATATATTTTTTTTTTTTTGATTCCAATTCCTATTTACTATCAAACAAAGGGATTCGTTCTACTTAAACCCATTACCATTACCAAATATTTGATTCCCATTACCATTTCGATTTCAATGTTTGAACCAAACACACCTTACTATGACTCAAAAGTTAAGGGAGTTGGGGTGAATAGTCTACCCTCAGGGCCTCAACTATGACTCTCTTTGGCATTACTAGCTGATAAATTATAAACTAGTCGCTTTGTATTTGATGATAGATGTTGATGGGTAGTTGTTTAGCTAGTTGAAAGAATTGAAAAACTAGTTAATTAATTAAAAATGAGTTCAAAGAATATATATATATATATATATATATATATATATATATTTATTTATTTATTTATATATTTGGGTTGAAGTACGGGAGAAGTCCCTGAAGTAATGATCCTGCAATCTTCATAGCATTAGTAGATACTGTCTTAAAGATATGTTAGCTCTGATACCAAATTGAAGATGTGTTCTATTTCAACTAAAAGCTTAAGCTGATAATTGGATTGCATATTTATGTTTATATATTATATGCTCAACACAACAAGATGTCTGATTTGGTTATTGTAGTTTATTTTCTAAAGTTTCAAAGGGGTTTGATTTAAACTGAAGTTTATTTCTTTGCTGCTTTGTGTATATACTGCTTTCACTTTGATGAATGAGTATTCCCAAGTCTAAGTACAAAAAAATGACCCTCTATTTGTGTTTTGGAATGGCAGGTTCGGTATTATGGGGTTGGTGACAAATTATTTGGGTGTTGGCCCTCGATCAAGCAAGAAATAAATTTCATTTGACATTTCCCAGCCACTTTATGTTTCTGTTTTGGTTATCAAATCAGAGTAGAAAGTTTTTCACTTGTTACGAACTCATAGAACTAGAGTACTAGACTGGAAACTTAGCTTGGTATTGTCATAAAAATTTGCTTGGTTTCTAATGATATTATTTCAAGTTAATTGCTTAAGTAGATTTCATATATATATTTTTTCCTTTAATAATTTGGAAAAACCTTGGTTGATGGACCTTTTTTTTTTTGTAAAATTATCATGGACTTGATTTATAAAAATAACTCTTTTTATTTCTATATCTACTTTTACAGTTTTAATGAGAGCCACTAAAATTAAGCTCGGGAACAAAAAAAATTATTGGTGTAATTATTTTCTCACATGATTGATTCATATTATTTTATGATGGAAAAAGTGTCTAATAAGCCCTCCAACATTTGCTAAAGAGTCAATTAGTCCTTCCAATTTTTTAAAGGTACAATTACATTCAAATCTGGGCATTTTTTAGCGTATTTTCAAACAAGAAAGTGATCGTCGAACGGTCCCCGGTCACGAACTCCGGTGACCACTGTGGTCACCTTCTCGCCAGAGAAGGCAACCCAGATCTGGGTTGCCTTCTCTGGTCGAGAAAGCCACCACTGTGGTCTCCTTCTCGACCGGAGAGGGCCACCACTCGAGAAGGCCACCACTGTGGTGGCCTTCTCGCCAGAGTCGAGGAGGCCAAGATAGTGGTGGCCTTCTCGCCGGAGAAGGTGACCACAGTGGTCACCGAAGTCTGTGATTGGTGTCCGTTTGACGGTTGTCAGTAATTTTTTTTGCCTAAAAATACGTCGGAAAATGGTCGGATCTTCAATGACCTATGATAGCAAGTCATTTACCCGTATTTAGACTTCATTGCATCAAAATGCATTGTATATGAGTGTAATTGCACCTTTAAAAAGTTGGAGGGGCTAGTTGACTCTTTAACAAATGTTTGAGGGCCTATTTGACCATTTTTCCTTTTTTTATTAAATATTTTATCTGATTTTCCTATCTTATCTTTAATTATTATTAACTATTAACTATATTCTCTTAAATAGTCCCAGTAAACTTTATGTCTTCAGCATAATTAGCAGTCGTCTTGGTTTTTTTTTTTTTTTTTTTTTTTTTTATTTATCAAGATGAGGGTAAAACCCAGAGCTTCTAGCAAGCCCCACTCCCAGCTAATCTCCCCCGTGGAGCCTTACGAGGGTGCTTTGCTCCGATGCGATCCTGATGAACAACATCCCGGAGTTCCATAGGTGCCTCGTTCAACACATGTAGACCAATAGGATATGAGAGGGACAAAGACGCAAGTGCGTCTGCCACCTTGTTTTGTTCCCTATACGCATGTTTATACTCCACCTTCGCCAGACCCATAGCTTCACGTATGCAATGCCCAACAATATTGTTTCGATCCACATTACAGGACCTCATGCTTTCCACAGCGGCTGTTGAGTCGCTTTCAACGATGAGCTTGTCCGCGCCTACATTCTTTGCGAGTCGGATGCCCTGTAAAATTGCCCAGGCTTCAGCTTCTTCAATCTTGCATCGGCCAATATTACACGAGAAGCCCCCACACCATTTCCCTGTAGGGTCTCTCAGAATTCCTCCGCACCCCGCAGCGCCACTAGCTTTTCTACAGCTGTCAACGTTGATCTTCCACCAGCCCTGTGGAGGCTTTTCCCATGCTACGGCATCTTCAAGAGGTTGCATGTTGTGTCTGCTCGCTATCCTGCCTTTCCTAAATGCCGCGCTGACCTCCGCGTCGTAGGCTGCAAGCCAGGCTCGTCTTTGGAACGTGGACGTTGTCACTTGCCGAAACACTTCGTCATTTCTCTATCTCCATAGCCACCATAGTCGAATAGCAAAACGTTCGGGCCATCCCTCTTCGAACCCCTCATCAGCATCGCCTCTCAAGTTCGTAGTGAGCCAGTCCTTCCAATTCAGGTCACTTAGCCGCTCCGCTGTCTGTCGTGGAAGCGACGTCGCCCACGTCTCCTTTGCTATCGGACATCGTCGGAAGATGTGATTGAGATTTTCTGGTTGTCCTGCATAACGAAAACAAGTTACGTCAGTCGCTATATGCCTTCTAACGCGCTCGGTGTTGGTTAGAACTCTTTCGTGTTTCACAAGCCAGACGAAGAAACATATTTCCCCCGACGTGCGTAGCTTCCATATGAGATTCCAATCAGCGTCCGTAGGTGATGCTTCTGCTTGTACCACCTGCTCGTAAGCCGACTTGACCGAGAACCGTCCATTCTCGGTCCACCTCCATCCAACTCTATCATTCTCGGTCTCGTCTGCCAATAAGACACTAGCCAACTTTTCCAGAGTCTCCCTCGGCAGCACCTGGTCGAGTTTTCCCCAATTCCAGCCAAGGTGCTCATCCTAGTAATCTGTCGCATATGCATACAAGTCCGGAAGGCAGATGGGATGCAGGAGTTGGTCATACAGAGGCCTCGGAGTTAACCAGCTATCCATCCAGAACCTAGTTGTTTTCCCATTGCGTACTACTCTAATAAGGCCTTTTTCCATTTGTTCCCATGCAGCGGTCATACCTTTCCATACATTAGATATCTTCTTTCTCCCCAAGTTCGTTGTGTTTAGATGCACCTTCGTTGTATATTTTCCATCTAAGATTCTTGCCCAAAGGCAACTCGGTTCTGCTTTAAATCTCTAGCCTAACTTCATCATGTATGCAGTGTTAAGGTCATGTAGACTCGAAGTCCAAGGCCACCCGATTCTTTCTCTGATGTCACTATTTTCCAGTTTATGAGGCTCATTTTATTATTCCCCTCGCTCGTCGATCCCCAGATGAACTTCCGGGTTTTTTTTTTTTTTTTTCCAATTCCATGCAAACGCTTTTGGGGAGATATATTGTTTGCATGGTGTAAACGGGAATGACATTTAACACAGATTTGGCTAGAACAAGCCGCCCCGCCGTGGTTAGGGTCTTCGCCTTCCAACCCTCTAAGCGAGCTGATATTCTCTCCAGAATGCCTGAAAAAGTACTGCAAGTAGCTCTGCCATGAAGAGATGGGACCTCGAGGTATCTCCCTAGATCTGCTGTTGCTTCGATGCCAAGCTTGGCTGCCAAAGCTTTTGCAAGATTCGGGTCAGTGTTCCGAGAGAAGTGGACTTGAGATTTGCTGAGGCTGATTTTTTGCCCCGAAGCCATGCAAAATCGTTCCAGACACGCCTGAATGACTTCTACCTGTTCAATGGAGGCTTCCGAAAAAAGTACCATGTCATCTGCAAAACAGAGGTGAGAGAGAATGGGGCCGTTAGTACTAAATTTAATACCCTTCCAACTATTCTTACCAACTTCCAAGGTGATGAGTTGGCTGAGGCGTTCCATGCAAAGGACGAAAATGGCAGGTGACATTGCATCACCCTGGCGTATGCCCCTTCCTGGGCTGAAAGGGTGCAGTCTTTCACCATTCCAAGCAATCGATAACTTCGCTGTGCGGATGCAGGTCATCACGATCTTAGTCCAATCCTCCATAAGACCAGCTTTCTCAAGGGTATCCTGAATGAAATCCCACGAAAGCCGGTCATAAGCCTTTTCCAGGTCCAGTTTGATTGCCATAAGGCCCGTTGATCCTCGCTTGCGCCTCATGGTGTGCATAGCTTCTTGGTACATAATAATATTATCCGTGATTTGCCTCCCCGGGACAAAAGAACTTTGGTACGGTCCCACCAACTTTGGCAGGATAGTCTTCAGCCTGTTCGTGATAGTTTTGGTTATAATCTTATAGTTCACATTGCAGAGGCTGATGGGTCTGAATTGTCTGATGTTCTCAGGAGTCTTGACTTTAGGTATGAGGACAATGAGGGTGTCATTTGTGCCTTCTGGCAGGTAGCCTGTAGAGAAGGCCTTGTGGACCATACAAAAAATGGCGTCGCCTGTCACCTCCCCACATTTGCTGGTAAAAAGCTGCTGGAAAGCCATCAGGGCCCGGGGCCTTGTATGGTTTCATGTCCGAGATAGCGGCATGGACCTCGTCCTTTGTGACTTGTCTGTTGAACAGCCGCCAATCAATATCTTCCAACCGAGGGAAAGCCGCCCCAAAGTCAGTGTCCAAGATTCCGCCATCATCCCTAGTGAAAAGGTGCGTATAGTAGCTTTGGACGTGGTTTTTGATTGCGATGTCGTCCGTGATCCAGTTTCCATGGTCGTCCATCAGGCTTAGAATTTTTATTATTTTTATTATTTTTTTTTATATGAGGTGTCCTGAGTAGGTTTTAACCGATTAAGGGATAAAGTGCTGGTCAGATTAGTTTTTTTATACGAGAAGGGGTTCGAACTCTCAACCTTTATTAAGGAATGAGAGTGCACGCGTACAAGCTGGTTATTGAAGTCATTAATTATGACTATGAAACCTAAAAGGGTTCGACAATTGATTCACAGAATGAATTTTAGAGAAATATGAATCTCATTCCGGAAGAATTAGAATATGTACGGAATCAAATATATGTCATGTATGGAGTATGAATTTTCTTTCATTATTTGGTTTGTGGAAGGAATAAAGTACGTTTCTAATACAAAATATAAATTGTTAATGACGAATTAGGCATAACCAAAACTAATAAGATATTCTTGAAAATTCAAGAGTAGCATAAATACCAAGTTCTCTTAGAACCAGGACTATGTGGTCTAATGGTACCCGGGTTGGACTTCCATTTGGAAGATTATGAGTTTGAGCCTCAGTGGAGGCGTTATTGGTTCTTTGTATTTTAGTAGGTTGAGGAAGTATATGAACAGATACTACAATGTAATCTACTAAAAAAGTGCCTGTTCATATACTTTCTCAACCTATTGAAACACAAAGAACCAATAACGCCTCCACTAAGGCTCGAACTCATAATTGTCTAAATGAAAGTCCAACCCGGATACCATTAGACCACATAGTCTTGGTAGTAGTAGTGAATCATTTTCTGATAGTTTGAGAATATTCTTTTTATAAGGAGAATTGCTCATTTTCGAAAATAGTCACGATTCATTTTTGGAGAGGATGGGTTCATGTCATTTTGTGATGAAACTTCTTAAGGTTTCTTAATTATGATGAGAAAGATATAGACCCTGTTTGGTAAATGGTTGTTAGCTGTTATCTGATTGTGTTAATTATAGGGTATAACTAGTTGATGACATTAG